CGACTTCTAGAGCGAGCCGAGGTGAATTATTTCTTCCAGGCCACGTTGCAGGTGGCAGAGACCAGCTCGGGTCAAGGATTCACAGCTGCACACAAGGTTCACAGCTTGCAGTAAACCTTCTTAACACGGGCTGGGTCACAAGTTGACTAGACCAAGTTCCCAACTTCAGGTCGTTATGGCTTCCTGGTTCCTATCCACAGCCCCGAAGCTTTTCACACACCTGCGCGCATGCATGAGCGAGCTGGTTCCAGTCATTCTGGCATCGATTTACAACCCTTACCTGTTGCTGCAACTTCTGGACCCTTAAGAGAAGGTGACTCCCGGCATCAGCTGTGAAGGATTGAATTGAAATTGTCACCAAGGCCATTCACTTGTTTCAGAAAGGCTGAAGGGATTCGCATGCGCCGCAGCCGGCAGAAGAGCGCGATGGGCACTTTTTTGAACTCCAAAGTCCATCCCAGACCAGACAACAAAGGATCTTTGGGCTCCACGCGATGCCTGCTCAGCTACGTCAATCGCGAGTCTTTGCGGCTTGTCGTGCGAGACGGCATGTAGGGTTCAGAATTTCGGGTCTAGGGTCTAGGACCCGGGGCTTTGGGTTTAATGAAAGTACAAAGGCCGCGCTTCCAGAATTGCAGGGTTGAGGTTTAGGGTGCGTTTGCGGTGTGCGCCTCTGACGCATCAAAGCCTCGCTGCTGGCACGAACACCGTTCTGGGATGCTCATACAGTGATCTGCGAGGGAGTCTTGCAATCTCATTGCCGTTTACTATCGCAACATATCCCCGAAGTCTCTAGGCATCGTGTTTCTGATGACAAGTCGCACCAAGAGACACAAACTCCCAAACCCAGAAGTGGACCCAGACCACATATGCCCCAGCTGCACCCGCCTGCTCAGATGGAACGCCCACCTGCTGGACCTTGTCGCCCAGCTGTGAAAAGAAACATGTTTACAAACATAGATTAAGACGTGGCAAGCGTTGCAGGTTGAGGGGTTGCCTAGGATGTAGAAGACATGATAATTGTCATTATTGTTATTCTTACTAGTATTGCTAGTATTATCACTATTCTTTTCATTATCAGTTTCTTTGATAGCGCTGGAGGAAGTTTGAACTAAGTCACTGTGTTGAGCCTCTGCCAATTCCCAAGCCCAGAGAATTTCTGAGTGACCGAATTTTCGCTAATGGCTGGGAAGGAGTTTAACAGAATGCTGTACGGATGTATGTGTGTAGGTATGTAAGTAGGCACGTAGATATGTAGGTAGGGATGTGTGTATGCATGTATGTGTGTAAATGCATGCATGTATGTAGTATGTTTGTACGTACATCCGGACCAGCATGCATGCTTGAATCTATCTACATATATATATTTGTCGATTAGAGAAGGGGGGCAGCAGTATTCAGAGATAGAACTTTATTGCCAGGCTGTTGCTGTGGCGCTCATGCTCGCTCTTCACAGCCGGGCGGCAGTGGTCGCAGGCTCACCAGAGAAACGAGACAACTCATGCTTCAATAACAGCCGCGAGTTTCATCTCTGGCTTAAGGAGGTCGTCGTTGTGCTAGGTACTTCATGGTATGTAGGCTGTGTTCTTGCCAAGACAAACTTTCAGAGCAGGTTAGGGGCTGTGAGTTTTTTGCAGTATCCGGCCTGCTTCAGTCCTGCGCTAGACACCTTGTAGATTGAATTCTGCATAGGCTCGCTGCATTTGAACCATTTACTGTTGATCACGCTAGGCTTATTTGAAGCATTGGTAAAAACACCGCAGCATCCAAGACCCTGCTGCCCTCTTACCAAGAATTTGCGAGAGATGAGGCCTTAACTGCTTTGTACCAGCCATCGCTGCTGGCTTCGGTAAATACTTGGTTTGCCTGGGCCCCAGTGGTGAATTCGACGACTGTTCTGCTTGAGCGGTAGATGTTTGAAGCTTGTGTTGGCTTGAACAATCACATGTTCCTGAAGCATTTTCAGGGCAGCTCCCGTGAGGCCTCAAACAGAAGATCTCAAAGCCTTCTTAGGCCTGGGGTTGAATTGATGGGATAGTCGGGCTGGTGTTTCTCTTTATGCCAAAGCCCTTGACAGGTGATATTTGTGATACCAACATGTCCCCGTCTAAACCTCATAGAACTATCACATGATTTACGCTTATACACCTCATATTCTCGTCATTTAGGCCCCTAGAACCCTGTACCCTAAACCGTAGCCACCCAACCTCTTAAACCTCTCAGGCTACCGACTTGAGCCAGACAACCAGGGAGGGCTTTCAGGCCTCCAATGCTTCTTGGACGATACCTGGAGAGTAACGGGGAAGCTTTAGGGTTTAGGGTTTTGGGACTTGGCCGGGCGAGCTTCAGTCAGGCCTGTGCAAAAAAGGGTCGAGGGTTTATAGGGTTTAGGGCCAGGCGGGCCGAGCAAGTAGGTTAGTAATTGGGATAACTAGAAGTCTGTGGGAGATGAACCAGAGGGGTTAAACGTATGATTACTAAGTCCCGCTGACCCACAAGTAGTGATTCCAAGTTTGGGGGATTCTCAGGCTGTAAAGTCTACCAGGCTTGAAAGTTTAGGCGTAGGTTTCAGGAGAAAGCGTCTGTTCCTCTTCCCCCTGCCGTCGCCCTTCCTAAGATCAAGGATGACCTGGCTGGAAACAAAGGTATTCGGATTCGGATGTATGCTTTTACGTCCTGCGATCCCGCGGTAGCTTCGACAATTATTTTCATTCAAATTTGTATTAACGAATTGCAATTTCCAGATCGGTCAAATTTTTCCCCCCGCCAAGGTTGAACTTGAACCGTAGCTAAACCCCAAAACCAACTGCCCAAATTCTATCTACTTCAAACACAAAACTCTAAATCCTATAAACCCCTAAAGTCATCCCTTAAGGTCCACAACGCAATCAGCGCATGCCCGCTTATGTAAGCCGCCTGTTCGCGACACTTCTGGCAGGCCATGTCCCCGAGGGGACCATTTCTGAGTTTCTACCATCAGGTGGCTGTTCGATCCATGTAGATGTGTAACAACTAGTGTTTTTTCTCGAAACAAAAGGCACGAATTTCTTGCGCATCTACACGAATCTCCCTTTTTCATCCGCGCATCTTCGGGATTCCTAGGAGGGCTCTGCAACCCTAAAGACCAATGAATAGTTTTTCCACGATCCCAGGTCCGTACCTGCCTGGTGGCCCTGGCCCAAACCTCATGGGAGCAGCGAAGGCGGGGCTCTGTCTGAAAGGCCTAGACCTTAACATTTCAGTAGTTTAAACCAAAACAAAACCCCAAATTCTTATATCCCCTGAACCCCTAGATCCCAAGCCCTAAATACTAGACGATGTGAGAGGGATCGGGCAGTTGTACTAGCGTGGCTTTGCAGATTTCATTGGTTTTAGGAACTTTTCCCAGTCCTCAGTTTCAAAAGCTTGCCACAAAAGATTTCAGATGGCTGCTTGTTTTTGTCCCCTTGAAGCTTCAAAGAGAGTGGTGTTGTTTCGCAAGGCCTTGGGATGAGTCTTAAAGAAGAGAGGAGAAAGGCAAGCAACCATTTAAAAGAAGAGCACATCTTCTGATAGCACAGGGCACAAACTTTGAAGAAAGCAGCAACGTCTCGGAGACGAGCCTATTACGTGTTTGTAGAGGAACATCCTGCACAAAAGGGCGGTCTATCGGACACATGCGTCTTCACAGACCCGACGTTCCCTTCGGGCAATGCGTGGTTCGGCACTTCTTTCTTGAGGAGACCGAAGTTTTACAAGGCAACGCCGACGAGTCCCTGAACCAATACCATCCTTGGTCAACTCAAGACCAACACCTTGAACCTCACGGTTTAGGTTTAGGGGTTTAATTAGGATGTCTCAGCTAGATTTCTGTTTGCTTGCCATTCGAATGGCATCTGTGTTTTGGAATTGTGTTGTGGGACAGGCGTTGAGTAGATGTGAGAATTGGGTAGGGATTCGAGCAGCGTTTGCCAGGGGCGTGAAGCCAGGTAAAGGGTTTCAGCGATTTGACACACGAAAGCAAGATGTCTCTGAGGTCCCAAACCAATTCGCTCGCATCCCTGCGTTTCTTCGTTGAGACCGTGTCTCGAATCCCTGTTCAACTTTGTCAACTGCTACCCGAATCTTCCCCATTCCCTCACAGCTTCACAGCCACAAAATCCAGCACATGAGCAAATAGAAGTGGAAACAACATCTGGGGCCTTTCCAGAAAAACTAAAGAGCTCGCTAAATTCTCAAAGCCTCCGGCTCATCAGCTAGACCCTAAACTTCGAACCCATAACCCTACAGCTTCGAAGCCTCCACTCCCCTGACCTCAGGTTCTCGGGGGGTTGGTCGTCTTCTTGACAGCTGTGCTGTGGACATGGTCTCTTGTCCGGCATGGAAGTTCAGACCTCGCAGAGACCCTAAACCTTCAACCTGAAGCAATGTTAGATCGCCTGCCAGCCTGACGGGATTGTGAGGAGACTTGCCGGCCTCGCGCGAGTGTGAGAGTTCGAAACCTGAAACACGTTGCGCATTATCGCCCGCTGGGAGGATGGGGATAGATGAGGGATCAAGGTGTCAAGCCTGCTTTTGCTTGTACCTGTTGATGCCTAAGGGGTAGCGGGGGAGTGAATGTCGGTATTTGTATATGGGGATTCTATCGGGACTATGATTGTATCGTCTCCCGCGCTCTCCTTCAAGCACCAGGTTGCTTCTGGTCTAGCCAGGCTCGGTACTTCTACGCTTGCGTCTCTCACTCTTTGCATCTCCCTTTGTAATTTTAGGACGTTCGGGTGCCAATCCCACACCCTAAACCCAAAAGCCAAAACCCGAGATTCGAGGAGTTCCCCACAGCAGGAGATCCCCTTGGGGGCGTCCCCGTGCCAGTAACAACTATATCCTGGGTCTCGGGGCATGTACCTCTTGCCAAGCTCCTGTAGTCATACATCCAGCACATCACTTGAAGATTTTAGGGTACGGGCGTAGGACCGTTCAGGATTCCGGGTTGCCGAGCCAAGGATTTATTCGACCCCACTAAACATTCGAGTTTGGGGCTTAATGAAATGAGGCAGCACCTCAAAAACATGTACTGGGTTGCTGCTAAAGAACTTAGACTTAGACTAAATAACTATCATAAGGAAACACCAGTGTTTACTGTCTACCAAGAATGTAAAAGCTCGATTTACGTTCCTTGACAGCAACCCAATATAGCCGAACCTGCACCCTCAGCTCTAGCGGAGAATTTAGAGTTTAGGGTTTAAGGGTTTCGGGTAATGGTAGAAGCTTGAAGAAGTAGGAGTGGCATCACCTCATTACCCTGACACAATTATCGCGTGATGGGCACCAAAACCCGACTCCAAGTGTTTAAACCTTAGCATGTCATCCCTGCCCTATATGCCCACTCTGGCATCCCAGCTTGCATATACTGTTGCATTTGATCCTCCATTGCTTGTCATGCTGATACAGGCCCATGCTACATCTTCTGTAGCTGTACGTAGTGCAACAGTGCGAACCTAAACCCTGAACCATCCTAAACCTCAAATCCTAAACCGATCGTTTTTATCTTAGTGGTTTGGCCTTCCATGCTTGCCATTTCTGATCTCGCCTCAGGCTTCAACTCTCAAGATCCACTGAGGTCTGCTGGCTGGTCCGGGGTGCGACGTTTTGGCTTCGGGTTTAAGGGTTGGGTTTCAGAGTTTAGGTTTGTCTGCAAGTAGGATTGGCTAGTCAAAAGAAAGCGTCAGTGAACCCGAGAACTAGGGGGTTTCACCACGCAGGTTCTGTGGGGGGGGGCCTGGACATTCTCAGGCCCTTAGTGCCCCAAACCCTCAACCCGAAATGCAGAGGTCGAACCCCCAGCAGGAGAGGGCTGGCCTCCAGCAGCCATCGCCGAAACCCCCACCGGGAAATTCCCAACCTTAAGCCTTTGAGCCCAAACCCTGTACACAAACCGGCCGCGAAGCCTTCGGAACACTTAGACCCTCGCTAAGCCCTTGGCACCGACCCTATACACTACCCTACTTGAAGGTCCAGGGGACTTAGTAAGTCAGTTATAAGAAGGGTTATAGTTGGGGTAACTCCATTTAGGGTACTTGTAACTCTACTTGTAACCTACTCGCTAAGTCCCCTGGCCCTCCAAGTAGGTACTTACAACCTGGCCTAAAGTCGTCTCTGCACTAAACCCTCAACCCTAAACCGGTTGTGGGATTCAACCCGGAAGGCATGAACCCGATGAGTGCAAGGGTTTAGGGTTTGCTTTCTGGTCGGTAAGAGGGAAATCCCTATATTTAACCCTTACATAATGTACTCCTTTATTCCCTACTAACCACGAGTATGTTTAGGGAATCCTGGTCATTGTCTCAGCACATGCACGCGAGCAAACAGAAAGATGACCATCCTCACCCGCCTCGTTCGGGTTCGTACCACTGTACAAGTTTCTCGCAGTATTCCTGTTCACATCATCATGTCTGCCGTTGTTCGTGGCTGTAGTAGCTAGTAGAGTAGTAGGGGGAACCTGTCGCAGTGCAGCCTTGCAGGAGAAGCCACCAGCCCATGTCGTCTTCTTGACAAGCAAATACCGGGAGCGGTTCTCGCTCTTCGAGACTGAGCGTCTAGTCAGGACTGCGGTCGGTTTGGGGGTTTAGGGAAGTACTGAGAACGGGCTACAAATCATGACGTTTGCTGTAACAAGGGATGCCATTGTCTTGCTGGTGGGCTAGTAGGGAATAGGGGAATAGATAATATAGGGATTCTCTGTTACCCACCAGTACGTTTTTGAATTCCAACGTCTGACAACATAAGCTCTGCACTTCTCTGATTCCTCTGCAAGCTGAATGCAAAGCCAAAATCTGCAGACCTAAGCACCTGACCGGGTATCTTGGTTCAGAAGTCTCATGTACTTACTTACTGGTGGTTAGTAGGGACTAAAGGAACATAGTATGTGGGGATTATACAGGGGCAAGTTTCCCTGTGTCCCTAGCAACCAGTGCGTGTATGCCTTCATGGGCTCAAGGTCGGCCTCTAGAGGCAATTCAGTGACGGGGTTCGGTACGTGTCAAGGCAGGAGAAGCCAGTGGGCATGCCAGGGTGTATGGATTTAGAGGGGTTTAAGGGTGTAGGGCTACCCCGATCCCTGAAATTGGAACTAATGTGCAAGCCCTAAACCCTTCGTAAATCTTGCTTTCGCGCAGGAAAACGCTCATCACCGTCATCGGAGCAGTGCTTCCCGTTGCTGCTTCACCTGCTCTCCAGATGGGCTCGCTAGGCGAGAGGGACAGAGCTGGGGGTTCTGTTGCAACTTGCCTTTGGTATACCTTTATGGTGAAAGACTGGAAACTCTGATAATGGGGCTATATAGGGATATCTACAACCCTAGACCCTTGTGAAGAGACCAGAACTTCGATGGGTCTTGAAGGGGACTTAAAGGCAATGTTTATAAGGATCCATTCCTGCATTCCTAGCTAACCAAAGGTAAAGTAAGGGGGTTGTGGGGTGTGCGGTCTAAAGTTCGGAGTAGGAGGCGACATGCAATTGAGGTGTGATCCTGTTGCTAAGTCAACTTTTGTTTCTTCACCTCCTGTCTGTAGAGGTAGAGCTCCCATATTGAACCCCGAGGTTGAATGCTTGGAGTGTTGGGGGGCCCTGGGCCTAACCTTGCATCTTACAACCCCAATGCTTCTGAGCCTCAGGCGTGGTGGTCGCCACTTCGCTCATACTCTACGTGATCTGCCGGCCGTACCACAATCAGAGTTGGAACTGGAGCGCCGGGACGTCTTTGCCAAGCCTTAAACCCTAGGTCCTTAACCCTGCTTTGCATCCTATGTTAGCCCTAAGCCCGTACAGGCATGGCGCGAGCTTTGGCAGGGTCGAGGGTCTGTCATTGTCCCCATACGAGTTTATGTGGTGAGCTCAACGTTTAGGGTTCGGGGTTATGGGTGTTATCTTTTGTTAAGCCGCAAGCCTCAAAGGTTTGTTCTAAGATTCTAGGGTTTCGTGGTTTAGGGCATGCGTTTTTTTGGTGTGTCTTGTGTGTTTCCGCTTGAGGGCAGTGCTTGCTGGTGACTACTTGAAGTCCATGGTAATTTATAGTTCTAATTAATGATATGTGCAATGAAAAACCAAAATATCGCCTGGGGAAACGGATTTGAAAGAGGAAAGACTTCTACTGATCCCTACACCCTAAACTCCAAACCCGTAGTGCTGCTTGCAGGAGTGAGATCAGCCTCCTCTTCGTGGCAAATTACATGATCCTCATTGTGTCCGCTTTGCTGCTTGGCCTTCTGTGCTATTTCCAGAGATGGGGGGGGGGTCCCAAAGCCAGTAATTCTACGAAGAATAGACTCCTCGTCATAGGGACTTTTCCAAAAAGGTACCCTAAACCCTAAAACCCTAAACCCTAAACCCCAAACGCCCCTGATGTTGGAGCGAGCTCTTAGGGTCTAAGACCTGTCCCCACAAGGCCTCCACAGGCCCCCTCACAGGCCCTCAGAGGCAGAGGTCCTCAGAGGGCCGGGCCTCTGAAAGCGTCTGCGGAGCCTCTGAGCGCCTCTGGCAGCCTTCGGTTTGGTTGGGGGGTTCCCTAAACCCTAAACCCTAAACCCTAAACCCCTAAACCCTAAACCCTAAACGGGTTGTGCGTTTCGGGGCCGGTGCCTTCAGCGTTCTCGGACGTCGAAAGCCCCAGAAGAAGCCCAGAGGGCTCAGAGGCCCGGAGGCGGCGGGCCGTTCGCATACGTCTTCTCTTCATTTTGAGAGAGATCTGCAGCGAAGTTCGGATAATCTTACTATTGCTGAAGACGTCGGTGAGAGTCGGAATTTTAGGGTGGAAGCCCGAAAGCCCGAAATGGCATCAAGTTGGCAGGAGGCCTGCACAAGCAGGAGGTGGGATGAATGGGCCAACACACCGAAACTGGTTGTTGGGTTCTGAGTCGGGGATTCGCCGTCGCGGGATATGCCGCCCCCCCCCCTCCTCACCCCTGCGCATATAAAGGCGCCATATCTTGTTACCATTTTCAGCCGCCGCGTGAACTTTAAAAACTCGTGGCCTCGGCCTCCCACCGATGATGG